AGTCCTATTCTTCCTTTCTTAGTTGCAAAATTTCCTTGAAGAATCTTAATATTCCCCATTAAAAATCAACAACATTTTTATCCCAGTGTACCAACTGAAAACTAACAACAACAGCAACACAATACGTGCACAGGACACAAGGGAAGAAAGAGAGGGATGGCGAGCTCGGGTGACAGAGAGGGCAGGAGTGCAGCAGCCGTGGAAATAAAAGATAAATAGCAGCCACGTAAAATGTTGTTGAATGTTTTAAAAAACCATAAAAACCACAGAGAATTACATTTAATGGCAGCAACAGCAGCAGGATGCCCCAAACGGTGCCCCAAAAATGGTAGGGATAAAACCGCAATGGGAACAACAGCAGCTAGACATCACACAGACTGACTGATGTGTACACATATATAGTATAGATATGTGTTTGGATGCACACTAGACATCCTCACAGGTCACATACTTGGTGTCCTTTGAGCTCACAGTCCCCTCGAAAAATATACAACCATAAAGGGAATTAAATATATGTAGGTATATTTCGTGCTTTAAACCGGAAATATATAGGAATCTTAATTAGATACCTTAAACTTCTTATTCTTTGGTTAAGATGATTAATAAATTACATATAGCCATAAGATACTTGCATAAATTTGGACCTGCCATCTGGATTTATTTAAAAAGAGCATAATATCTCAAGAAAAGATTTTCTACATTTTATGAATTTATATTTCGAAATGCTATGAGTTGCCATGGCTTCTTTAAATAAATCCAGGCAGTTAGTCCAAAATTAACCAGTGTCATAGCCTAGAAAACACCTTTGTTCCTTATTATTTGGATCCCTAAAACTTTAAAAAATATTTCTAGAAATTTGAAACTTATTGAGATTGTTGAACTGAAATGCCAATGAATGAATGACTAATGAATAAAAGACCATTCCTTAATTTTTAAGGATTATTTTCTTGTTTAAAAAATTTAAGAGCTATTGAAAACGCTAACTTGAAACAACTATAAATTTAATGCTACTTTAAATTCTTATGCCAAATACAATTTTAAACTTAAAAATGTGTGTTTCTTTTACAGCAACAGCTGCAGTTGTCAGCTGAAAGAGTTTAAATCTATTTGTCAGCGGATGCACTATGAATGCATAATTAACAAAGCGGAAATTCGGCAACATTGCAAAACAAATTGCATATAATACGGAAGAGCTTGCATAATTAACAAGCCGGATGGGGAAAAGTGAAAATTGCCGGCAGGGCTGAAGAGTAAGTGGAAATTCCACAGCTTCCGAATTCTAAATACCAAATGGCGAAATGGCAAAACGGCAAAATGGGAAATGCAATAAACATTCAGCTCAAGTAATAAGCCAACACATAAAATACGCCATTAAATGGCCGATGGCCAAAACGAAGACGAGACGTTCAAATGACCAGTCTGCCCAGAGGAGGAGGTCGAAGGTTGGGGATAACTGGAAGGAAAGCCTGGATGGAAACGCTGGGGATGCTGTCAAAAAGTCAAAGCCATTAGGCACACACCAAAGAAGATGCGTCCAGCAGCGACAAAATTGAAACGAGAGATGGCAGTGGTGAAAATGGGGGAAAAGTCCAAGTGCTGACCACTTTTGACACCGAAAAACTAACGCAAATGAACAACGAAATTTAAGCATACGACACTTCATTAGATGGACTTTAAAAAGGACGAAAATTGGTAAGGGCAAAAGGGGGCCGACCGCAGGACATGCACAGCACAGACGCCTCATTGGCTTTGACAGGACACAACAACTCCATCCTTTGCATCCCTTCGAGCCTGATTGCTGCGGTCGTCTGTCGCGTGTCCTTCGTCCCTCGTCCTTTCGTCCTGGCCACCTGACAATATCAGCAAACATCTCTCGCCTGACAAGCAACAAGAAGCGAACGCAAAACCGAACAAAAAAGTACTAGAAAACGGGAACCCATGTATGGTATACCCTATAATATCATGGGGTTCCATCATTTCATTATCACCTTCGCCTCAAAAAAAAATGTATATTGAATGTGCCACACAAGTAAATGGCTTTAAAATCACTTTTAAATATAATTTGAGGTGTCTAAAAGTAGGCAACAATATATTTTCAACTCAGGAATACAATCAATTTATTACGTTGCATACTTTAAGACATCCAAATCAAAGCCTTTCAGATATTAACAATTAAATATTGATGTTTCCCATTATAAATTATTAGCTTGACTTCCTACTCTCTAAAAAAAAGAAAGCATCTCTTCACTTAAAATGATTTAAAACCTTGCTTCACCTACAATAATAGAACACCTTCTACATTTTTTTAAATACTAAATATTCAGTAGATTGAAAAAAGTAAAATATAATTAAACCTTATACATGTATTTATGGCTTAGATTGTAAGAAATCAATTGCTTTTCTAGCTTTCTAGTTATTTATCCCGAAAGTACCCCTTCGGAGGGCATCACAAAACAAGAAAAGCCCCCTGGTGGTACATATACATCCATTTCGAGGAAAAAGAGTCCGGGGGCGGATGCTTTAAGCCGCTGACAAAGCTCCTCTAATACCGCTGCAATTAGCAAACCTGTGCACCTGAGCAAACAGCTGCCCCCAAAAGCTCAGGATCAGGAAAAGTAGAACCGGGGGCGAGAACGAGGAGATGTCCACTCGACATGGCCCGCAGCCAGGAGATTAGAGCCAAAGTTGTTTATGGCCAAGGATGGTGGAAGTTGGAAGGTGTTCACCGCCGGCAGGGATAAAGCATAATGAAAGTAATAAAGTTCCACAGTTTCAGGACTCCAACTCAAACTCAGCCTGCTGCCCCTTACTTTTGATCGGCGCCTGGCGATAAAAACTTGTGTGTTTGCCAGACAGCGAAACAGCATTTTGAAGAGTGAGAGTCCTTCGACATCCTTCCATGTGTTGCATGTGTTTTTTGCATCACTCTGTGGTCATGCCAACATTCCTGCACCGGAAAATATTGGCCAGAGGATAGGGTATAAAGGACTTTCCACCGGGGCAGACACTTTTATCGCCATCGTCGATGTTCGCTTGCTGTTGTTTTTATTGAATATTCATAAATGGCCAAAAAAGACCAAAAGGAAGCTGCAACTAAAATGGTCGCTTGTCGGCCTCAGCTGTTTTTTGGGCCCTTCTGTCTGGCAATGGAATCAATATTTTATGCCCAGCTGCTGGTCAGAAGGAAGATGCTACCAACCACACGAGAATGGAAGGCCGCACAGAGAAAGTGTACTGAAAAAAAAATACTACGTTTGAAGCTCTTAGGATATGAAATTGTACGAATACTTGCCAAAAGGAAAAATTAATTTGAAAGTATTCGAAAGGTACCGAACAAATCACTTTGAAGTGTGAATTATCTTCTACACAAAGTAATTGAATAAAAAATTCTAGGTGTCTAAGAGTATGCAACAATATATTTTAAGCTCAAAATTAGAGTTTGTTCTTTCACTGCATACTTTTAGGCACTCGCAGTATAAAAAGTATTCTAAGAAACTTGTAAAAAAGAATGATAATAAAATATTATCAATAATACTACTATATAAAGCAATCCACTCAAAACTAAAAATCAACGCATAGCGGAATCAAAAACAATTTAATTAATTTTTTTTTTTAAGTGTAACGTAGATAGCCTGCAAGTGCAACAGGATGTCCTGGCCACAAATTAAAATGTGAGCACACACACATGTCTGATTGAGCCACGCCCCAGACAATTTGGTTTGACCATCTCAATTGTGGTTGCCACGCCCCATTTCGCCTTTGAATATATAGTTGGCAACCATTTTATTGCCTAATTTTAAGAGCTCAGCTGAGTAATATTGAATTTTGGCAACGATGCAACCGATATACATATGTATATTTGCAAATTTTGTGGATAAATTATTTAGCAATTAGAAGGCATAGGCATGACTGACTTTCTGGCATCTCAAAATGGTTGCTGAATTGATGTGGCATAGCAACGCATATCAAATTAACTAACAAATTGAGTTGTCGAACTCTTTTCTGGCCCACGGCAACGCCACCCGAAAGGAAATTGCAAACCATTAGGCACACAGGACGAGACAGAGGGAAATGGCAAATGAAAATGGAAAATGCCAAGAACACACAAAGGATTCTCAGTTATTAATGAAGAAATCGCAGGGAAAAGCACGCACGACCAGCTCACAATAATGAGGAAAAAGGCAATGCCAATGCGAATTCATTTGATTTCATCATTTTATGGACCCAACACAGAATTATCATTATCATTGTTATAGGAACTAAGACCCTTTTTTCCGTTTGCCCATCAACAAGGCAACACGTAGCAAATTATGAATGAATGAGTGGAGTAAAAGCCGGGCGGCACAGTGGAACTTGCCTCGTAATTGCCACTTTGCTGTGGCAAATGCCACATGTGGCAAGTCCTTGGAATGGAGGCGACAAATTTCAGTGCTTCGTCCTCCAAGGAGTTGCAAACTGAGTAAATTGCGCAATGAACGGTGGCAAATTACATGTGCAGCCCGAGGTGGAAACCCCCAGGAGTCTGGACTGAAATAAGAGGCACTGAATGTGGTTGTGCGTCTTGGTTTTCCTTCTTGGGATTGGACAGTAGTAGTGGTAGTGTCGCTCTTAATGTTTAGTTTAAGAAAAAGTACCCTAAATGGTCCATAACATCACTAGGGTTTTGTAATTACCCTATAGGTGTCTAAAGGTATGCAATGAAAAATGGAATGTGGCTTTACATATAATGTAGCATACTTTTAGACACTTTTAAAGTTATTTCAAAATGTTAGTTCTAAAAAACACGTTGTTTTCTTTTCAATTTTAGTTATATGTATAATAAAAAATGTATCTTCAATTAACATAAACACGTACATATATACAGATATATTAGCTGATTCGTAATATCTTAACTGCCATATTTCGATTTGAACACAAAATTTCCCCGACTTCTGACAATTTTCCATCCTAATTTGGTTAATATCCACTTATTTTTCGAAACATTTGATAGGAAAGCTCACCTGACTGAGCTCATCCCGGGAGCGACGCGAACACTTGGGCAGTAGGGCCTGCATGTCATCCTCGAAGGCTCCGCCATGGACCGCATCCACGACATCATCCACATCCCCATCCGGATCCAGGCTGCTACTCCGGCGGCTGTCTGTGTTTTGATTTTGATTTTGGTTCTGCTTTACATTTTGAATGTGATTCGAGGCTGATGTCATGGATCCTGGCTGAATGCTCGTATTATTGTTGTTCAGATTGGACTGGGCCAGGTTATTCAGTTTGCTGCTGATGGCGCTGAGACTCGCCTGTTGCTGAGATTTTTGTGACTGTTGGCCATTGTGATTGTTGTTGATGTTGTTACCGGCATCCACAGAGGCCGCCTCCAAGGACGAGGGCGTGGCTCCAGCAGATGGAAGTGGCTCACTTGTCCTGAAAATAAAATAAATAAATGCTTAATTAGATCAATTTAATATCTTGTATTTACCTATATATTTATTCAATGTAGAATTAATACTAATATAATTATATTATAAAATCAATATGAAAGACAAGGCTTTCTGAAGAGTAAAAATCGACTAATGTGGTCTTCGATCCTTTGACTTTGGGGTGTCTTAAAGTTCCGACTTATGAAGAGGAACCCCATCCAGTGCTGATACCCATTTGTCAATGGGTCTACCCTCAGTCAACTGTCAAAAGGTTAATTTGCGACACATTTTTTTTTCGCCCCCAAAGTGGCTAAATTCAAGACAAGGATGAAGTAAGAAGGATGAAGGACGCACAGGACTCGCATCATCATGACGCCTCAAAGCGGGTAATTTTACGCCATTTTAACAATATTTCTACGATAGGGCACAAATGTTATTAATGAATGGCTAGAGAATAGAAAAGAAAGCGAAATGGTGGAAAAAAAAAAACAGTATGAGAGCCTTCAACTTCAAGGACTTGCAACCGCAGGACAGCCAGGCTGTTGATGGATCAGCGGCCCCAGGAAAGGACCTCTTGTCATAAACAAGACGAAGGCGAAAGAAAAAAACCGGGAACCCCACATACATATGAAAAGTTGTCAAACACTCTGACATAATCATGTCAAATTAACACGGAACAAACAGGATGTCAACTTGGCGTGGGGTTGGTTGGGTTGGGTTGCGTTGGGTGGATAATAAAACACTCTCAAGGAATTAGGCGGCTTTGGAAAACTTGGGGCAGGCTCAAGGACACGGCAAGCCGCCAAAGAAAACACGCTCGAATTTATGGGGATTTATAGAATAAACAAGGGCGAGCGATAAACAAAACAAGCAAAATGACAGCTGGGTAGGTGGAGAACTTTTGGTAGTAGGAGCCCTATGAAGTCGATGGAACCACCGCATGGAAATGGAAATGCGCCCACTCATGGCAATTAAGATTAAGTGGCAGTGGATTTGTTTTTCGGTTATACAAACGGTCGAGGATGAGGTGTCCTGTGGCAGCGAACCTTGAATGTTTTGGCCATCCAGCGAAGTGAAGGTCAATTTAAGCCATAAAATTTATGTAAATATCCTAGCTGTAGAGGGGTCAATAGTGAGAGACCTTGATAGATATTAAGTTACAATGCCAAAAACTAAAAGAAATTTGTTAAAAATGAATAATAACAAACGAATAAAAGCCTGTTTTACAAAACTATCATATAAAAACATCAACTACAAGTGACTTACAATAAAAAAAGAGTTATTTTATATTATCAAGTTAATATTTAGTATCAGTTTAATGCGTTTTGTAGCAATTATTAAGACTGGCATCATTATTTTATAACTTTTAGTAAATATTTAGTATTCATTTTGAATAACTTTCTATAATCCACCTTAAAAACATAATCCCCTCCGGAACATCCCTTAATTTACCCCTTTTAACCACCAAAGAGCTACTCAAAACTACGAGTATTTTAAGATCTTACTTTCATCTCAATCTTTTATTCACAATCAGCAGTGGCAAAGTGCTATAACTAACTCAATTATTGGTCTGCAGAAATGTGAAAAGTTTAACCGGCAATCCCATCCGTGGTATTCCGTCAATCGGAAGTTTCGTTCGCAATGGAAATCCGTAGAATTGCCCTTTCTTCACCCAGCACACAGCAATCACAGTTGGCCCCGAAAATTGTGAAAAGTTTTCGCTTCGCAAAGAGTCCCCCCATGAATATTTACTCTTTGTGCTCGGAGGACAGATGAAATCAAAGTGTGGGAAATAAAACAAAAAGTAAGCATATGTACTATATGGAGGTGAGGAAACTGGGGTTTCGGTTTGCGAAGGATGCGGGTGGGATTGGATTGGAGTTGGTTTGGTCCTGAATGTAGTCAATAGAGAAGGAGTTTGGGTGGGCCATGCAAATTAGTTGTGACAGCTTTCAAAAAGTTCAACATAGTTGTCGATGGTAACCCGGAGTTGTGAGTTACGTCCTCCTCACTTGACAGCTGAGACTGACACATCGATGTGAGGAGATGGCGAATGCACAAGAGTTCACAACGTTCAAAGTTCATACATTGGTGCACTCGAAACTGCACCTTTGGGATGTGTGTATAATTTCTGTATAATTATAAGAACCTTTTAAATATATTTGTTAATAATATGCCGCCTAATAAACTAGCACACTCATATAACATTGCAACTAATAAATTAATATAATCTCGAAATTAAATATAATATTAATAAAATATTACATTTATCTATTGGTATCGTTTAGATAGGTTCAGAAACATTTTGCATTTTTAAAGACTTTTAATTGTTTTTAAAGAATAAAGAAAAATTTCCCTGAATATACAAAATCTTGCATAGAAAAAAATAAATATTTCTTTAGGTTCTATCACATAAATTATTAAAATACAGTTTTAAAATAGTCAAATTGATTTTAAACAACTTTATTTATAAAGCTTGATTTCCCAGAATTTTTTTACCTTTGGAATCGATTTTCTAAGTGGCTTATGTCTTGAATTTTAGTACCCTTTTAGGTGGCAATTTAAAAGTGAAATCTAGTATTATTTGCACCACACTTTTCTCCAAGTGCAGTTGCAGTGCATTTCTGATCTAGCCAAAACAGAAAAGAAGTACATACATGGTAGGCAAAAGGCAAGGAGTTTAACCCCCTGTCTATGCCCCACGGGCTCGGCAACCCAACCGTTTTTGATATGGTAATGTGGCAATGGCAGTGCGTGTGTGGAATGCTCCATTATTAGATTTTTCCCCCCAGTCTAAGCCCAAAGTCGAGCAGAGTGAAGTCTAGAGGAGAAGGAGTTGATGGAAAAGGGGCAAACATCGTCGAGAGTGCCATAAAGTAGTAATACTAATTAAGTTGTGTATTATGCATGTGCAGCTAGATGGGGAATGGATCGGGGGACTGCTATTTGGATTGGGATTGGGAATGGGGATGGGCAATCCCAATCCCAGACAGCTCGGTGGGATGCCTGTGGTCGGGCCCTCGACTCGAGCAGCCGGTTGACATCGTTTAGTTGAGCACTCGGCGAACAATGGTGATCCAGTAGGGGATTGCTGGAGGAGTGACTGCCAAGTGGATGTGGTTAGATAACCTGGAGGATGTCATCGAAGTGAGTGCTGGTTGAGGCACGGAGACTAGGTCACTTTTTGTTGCCACACGGTGATATTGAATGGGATGGCGATAGGGCAAGGCACAGGAAATGGAATCAATTCTTTGAAGGAGGAGCAGGTAAAATGGTTTAAAATTTACACTGTAAACCAGATTGGCTTTAACTTAAGTTCAGTTTATAAAGGAGTTCCTTCAAAAACAAGTTCCTTCAAGCAAAAACACAACTTTTACTGTTGGTGAGTAATCAAAAAAATGCAATGAAAATAATAATAATTTACCACTACTGTTTTCAATAAATAAATAAATGTTTAAAGTTATAACAGACTAAATTCGAAGTCGACTCCAATTAAATATAACCAAAATATTATTTAGTTATTTATTAAATATTATTTAAGAATTGCTAGATTTGATTTGTATTAAAACATCTATTTTCTGTTTTTAGAACACGTGATTATTTGTAAATTGATTGAGATTGAAAATCATAAATTTTTAAATGCGTTGTTAGCAATAACAAAATGTTATTTAAGCCTTGATATATTAAACTCATATTAAAATATTTCAATTCCGAACCTAAAGTGTTTGAAAAGTGTTTGTAAATGCTTTCGATAAATTGATGAGGATAAGTAAAAAGCTTCAAGTGTTTTACAAACAAACCAACCAGGTTCAAAAATATATTTTTAATTGAAATAAATAAAATAATAATAGATCGTTACAGTCCCAGCAAAATATGATTAATTTATTTAGAAGAAAAATAAAATCACTATAATCTCAGTCCAAGCAGTCGCAAATGGAATCGGTTAGGTTAACTCACCTGGCCTTAGGGTGACCTTTGAACTGGGCCACCTCGGCGTAGCGTCGTCCCAGGGGAACCTCCTGGGGACTGAGTAGGGAATCGCAGAGGGCAGGGGTCACCGACGACTGCTGATCGCCCACTGGCAGACTCATGCCCTTGAGCAGGCGAACGGTGGGATCAGCCACCCCTGCTCCTGCTCCTCCTCCTCCTCCTCCTGTTCCAGAGGATCTCAAGATCTTAGGATCCTCCACATTTCGATTGGCAAAGTTCTTGAGCTGCTCCCGCAGCGAGTAATCCACCGAACTGGAGCACGAGGTGGACTCCGAGACGGAGGAAGAGGAGCTAGACGAATGGCATCTGGGCACCGGCGATGGTGAATGATGATCCAAGTGATCCTGGCCAGCATTGCCGTTTTGCAGATCCTGGTAGGCGGCGTGGGCATCCTCGGAGCCACTGCTTGTGCCGCTGCTGGTCGTCGAGGAGGAGCCACTGTGGCTTCCACTCGACGACTGGTTACTCTGACTGGTTGTATTCGAGACACAGCTATCCATGCTGGCCGTGGAGTTGCGATTCGGATTACCATTCCCATTCTCCCTGGCCTTCGTCTGATCCACCTTGGTCTCCAAATCCACATCCACGTCCACGTCCACCTGTTGGGGCACTATGATCAAGGAAGTACGCTTCCGCAACGTATCATCCTTGGCATTCATATTCTGTTTGAGCGTCTTATCCGATTTGGTGGTGTACACGATGACCTCCACCTTCGACGACGAGTTATCCACACAGGACACCACCGAGGACACGGCTGCTCCTCCTCCTATGCCTCCTCCTCCTGGAACTGCTGTTTCGTGCGACATCCTGCTGCAAAGTCGCTTCAATTTAGAGATACTGGCAATTCGAAATGACTTGGGGGGGAAATGGAAAATTGATGCTACCAACTCATGCAACACTCATAAATGAAGACTCCCCCACACACATGTGTCAATCTTTTTTATTGATTCCGACATTAAATACCCGAGGTGGATATCGCATATCGCATATAGCACATCCGATGAACCACTCAAA